ATATATATCACAATAATTATTATTATTATAAGAACTCACTCTTATCTCCATACACTAGTTTTAGAAATCAACAAAAGTTGCAACATAAAAGCCCTCTGCTGAGCAACAGAAGGCTGGTAACATTAACATTGGATTGAAGACAGTCTTCATCCTATTAACGTAGTTCCAAAAATTCTGTATCTTCTACTTCCCCATGGATCTTTTTCATCAAGGTAATATGACATTAAGCAGCACCATATCCATGGTGGATTCCTTAGAGCTGGACTGCCCTTTATACCGAGCAATTTCTTCATTTTTTCAGATAACACACCAATCGATGGATAACCATCAAAAAATTTCTCCTATAAAAGAACAAAAAGAAAAAAAAAGTCAGCCTCAGTCAGAAACAAAACTTTTAAGTGATGATTAACCAAAGACTGTTATGTAATATTCATAATAGCTAATTGTATAATCAAAACGCCAGTGACCGGATTCCCTGCGGATCGAACAATATCGAACAGCAAACGTGTCGCCAATCAAAATGAGTAAGGATATCCCAAGGATGGATTCCACTCGGGCAATCAACCAGAGCTCAACCAAACCAGAAAACAAACAAATTAGAGCTCAAATATCAAGCGGGCGACCGAGCCAAAAGGTGGATAAAATAAAATATCGGATAACGTCCGAGTAGTCGAACGAGAAAATTATGATCCAGAGGCCGGCCGAGTTATAAGTTAATCAACTCAGAGATCGCTCAAAAAAAAAAAAAATCAGTCGACAAAAGGATGAACCATCGAATAATTTGTGACTACGCCGCAAGAAACGATCATTAATGGGTCAACCGATTAAAAAATAATAGGAATGTAACTATCATTTGACATTATCCTTGGTCTTTTATATAAATAAAGGAGTATTAAACTTAAAGGAGTTTGTTGGAACCATATACGAAAATACATGATTCCTCACATCTTTTACTCTTTCTCTCTCTCTCTCTCTCTCTCTCTATAGATATATATACATATATATATATATAGATATATATTCTGGCTGGAAGTTTCTTGCGTTTATTCTTTTTTGGGAAATTTGGAGTTGAGGGAGTATGAGATTATGGCTACTTATATTTTTGATTTATGTGATGTCCGACCTCTTATCTTTGGCATGGAGGTCCAAGAATCCTTCGATTTTTCTGTTGAGTTTTATTTGGGAGGCCCATGACTCCCTATTTGCTAGTGGATGAATTTATGGAGATGGAGGGTTTCTCGATTTAAGGTCCGGGAGGTTGTGCTGGGTGGTTTTGCTTTTGGGATGTATCATATTGGCTGGCTTCTTTTTTGCATGGAGGCCCCGGGCTGCGTTTCTT